ATGAACGCGATGGTACCAGGGTAATCGGTGGTGTGCATATCTTCCCACTGCATTTCATCCACCAAAAAAATGCACACTATATTAACTAACATATAAATGTATTTATTTATGTATGTTTATATGTATATTTATATATGGAGTTTTATTTCACAGGCTTCAAAACCAAATAAACCATGATTTTCATAAATCCTTTGATCAGATATCTCAAACTATTCCCCTTATCCTGCAAAGTTCATTTAAGGCAAACTAGATACCCCAAAGATAACAAGTCTGCCCTCGGGGTATTTGGATTTTCGATATAAACTTATGCATTATTAAAAAAAAAGATGAAAAATCTCCTCTGCTACCTGATTTACGAGCCTCAAAGTTTAACAAATGAGCTGCAGACTGATTTAAACCTTCTAATTAGGCAGTGCATTCGAATGTAATCAATTTAGTTTGTTTGTTTTAATATGATGCAATAAACATAATTGAATTTACAAGCCTAATAAACACTAATATTTATACCCATTAATCGAAAAAAGCATGCTCATTAACCTACTTTGTAGGCAAAATCTAGCTCCTGCGATAAATCATGTTACAAAGGAAGCTTTTTCTTAGTTGTGATAATAGCCTATCAAATTTTACTCTACATGCTTACAAACACAAGTATTTCTTATTATAAAATTTTAATCTTTGGAGGCCCATATCGTACTTGCAATTTTAAAACAAGACCTACGACAACATCTTAAATGCATACATCTTTTAAATATTAGCACTAACTCCCATTTGAATTCTGGCATAGCATCACGTAATGCTTCAAGTATGGCTTTTGTTCGGTCAACCAAAGCTGGTCACATCTTCTCACTTACTTTTGCCTATTATTTTTGTCATTTCATAGCTTTTCTTCAATCAAGCCGAGGTTCGCGAGACAAAGCCTGTCAAATTAAACGCCGGTTTTCTCTACTTTGTGAAGAAAATTAATTTTCCACCTCACCAGGGCATAGTTGATATGCTTTACAGCAATCCAGAAACGGAGTAAGTTTGTCTCTGCCTAAAAGACAAAGTTGTATTATTACCATTCAATATGCCGACTTGCCGTTCACCCCACTTGGTCGGCTATTCAGATTAATGTACTTAAACTACTGTCGCTGCATTTTGGGATGGTAGGTAAAGCAATTATTTTATGACACTAGAATAAATTCCCTATACATTTATCAATTTAGTCAAACTACTCCTTCTTAGTTCTGTTTGCAAGTGCGCTTTTATCTACATACCTAAAGAAGAACACTGGTGCTCATTTATTAACGGAATTCAAGCATGAAATTTCTAGACATAAAAACAATCTTGCTTAAACAATCAGCAAAAACATATTCGCTTGCAGTTTAGGGTCTCGTAGCTATTTTATTTCAATGAGATCGCAAGAAGATGAGGTTATGCTAATCAATACTATATTAGTTAACATCCATTGATTCATAGTTTTAACATATTTGTGATGTCAATAGGAATATAGATAAGTTTTGGAATAGCTTAAAACAGAGTTGATTTCGGAATAGATATCAAGTTTAATGAAACTACATGGCAGTAGAAGAACTAGAGCACACTTACTCAGTACATAAATGAATGTGGAATGGACGGTATGACAAATTCTGATATTTAGCATTCATAATGCCGCCAGCCTTCAATTCTCTGGAGCAAAAGGTAATGGTACAAGGATAAGAAGTGAACATTATGCGGCTTTATAATGTTGTTGGTTCGACCTTGTTTTCGCAACTTTTCTGAGCGTCAGGGAGACCTTGTGGAACGTACTAAGTCCCGTGTCCTTGGTCACAGTATTGAGGATTTCCAGCATTGGGCTATTGGCTGGGTACATTCCTACTAGTTATGTTCCACAAGGTCTCCCTGACTCTTACGCATAGTTGCGAAAGCTAGGTCGAACCAACAATCTTATATAGTTAAAGGAGACTGCAACCAAACAGAAGGCCACACAATTTTGGTCTTCATATCTACGAGCTAATGATGCGGCTTCCCGGCTTTCCGTAAAGAAGGGTCAAAGTTGGCCGTCTTTTCACAGAATATCTGATCATTTGTCCGCTTACGTTGAAATTAAAGACCATGGCTCAAAATTAAATTTCACCGAATCTTGTTGCCTCAAGTCTTCCTCATTCATAGATGGCCACCGTTTCGAGTTTGTATCGGTGCCTTTCACACCTCATTTCCATATGGAATTGAAGCATACGCCAATAGCAATTCATTGCTTGTGAGCCACAGGGCCTATGCAGCTTTAGGACGATTCACAATTGAACTGGTGGGAAAATCTAATGGGAAATGCTCGTAATTCCAGTATCTTTAATGATGACGCTACTGAATAAAGTTTCATGCTCAATTTGTAAGCTAGTTTGTGGTAATATGAGATGTATTCACCCTATTTCGTCCAAGGTGATGATTGACTGGTAGGAGAATTTTCCCACAATGATATGAGTTGAGCTGACGTCTCCCTTGAATTTCACATAGACTGGCTTTCCCATAAGTTGTTCTCATCCAGG